CACATCGTTCTGCTCCTGACTACTCTACTGAGAGAAGAAGACTGAACGAGTTCAGCGCGCTCTTTGCAGCTCTTGGTGTTGGCGGTACAGCGCTTCAGCGGTGGTGGTTTCTCATGTCGAGTGGGTTGCACACATCACGCTGCACTACCCCCTGTTTGTGTTGCAGGCGGCCATCTCCCTGTGCGCTTCAGCACGCTAAAAGAGCTTTTTCCCTAAAAGAGCATTCACATGTGCGTGGAAGGCACCTTTTTCTGCCGGAAACCGACCTGCTAGCTCCTCCTCCCTCACCACTCTCGACGGAGGTGCAGCTAGGGGGTATACGGGGGTACCCCTGGTGGGGCGGTTGATAGCGATGCAGTTCACTGCCTCCACCCAGCAGGGCAAACCGTGCCTCCCCTCCCGGGTCTGTAGGTACTCGTCTGGTCTGTCCGGCAATGCTTATGTGGCCTGTGGAGAAGCTGCCTCTGCCTTACATGCTACGGCGTTACTGCAGGTTCTTCAGGCTAAAGCACTGAGGGACCTGCACGAGGGTGGTCACGATCCGGAAGTTCTGAAAGAGCTCAGAACCGCAACTGATCTTGCGCTCCGAGCGACGAAGGTCACTGCGGGTTCTCTGGGACATCTGCAATGTCCACACTTGTGGTCCAGGAGCGCCATCTCTGGCTGTGTTTGGCCGACATGAGGGACGCCAACATGTTCGGTTCCTCAAAGTTCCTGTGTCCCAGACCGGCCTCTTCGGCGATGCAGTCGAGAACATGGCCCAGCAGTTCTCGGCTGTACAGGAGCAGACGGAGGCGATCCGACATGTCCTGCTGCTGCCTCCACCCGTCCTTGACGCTGTGCAAGGTCAGGGAGGATGAGGAGCAGGTCCTGCTTGTGGTGACTGCAGGTTCATCAGGCCAAGGCACTGAAGGACCTGCACGAGGGTGGTCACGATCCGGAAGTTCTGAAAGAGCTCAGAACCGCAACTGATCTTGCGCTCCGAGCGACGAAGGTCACTGCGGGTTCTCTGGGACATCTGCAATGTCCACACTTGTGGTCCAGGAGCGCCATCTCTGGCTGTGTTTGGCCGACATGAGGGACGCCAACATGTTCGGTTCCTCAAAGTTCCTGTGTCCCAGACCGGCCTCTTCGGCGATGCAGTCGAGAACATGGCCCAGCAGTTCTCGGCTGTACAGGAGCAGACGGAGGCGATCCGACATGTCCTGCTGCTGCCTCCACCCGTCCTTGACGCTGTGCAAGGTCAGGGAGGATGAGGAGCAGGTTGACTTGGTCGTCAGGCTCCTTAGGGGGGCGAGAAGGTTAAATCCTCCCCAGCCCCCCTCTATACCCTCTTGGGACCTGTCTCTAGAGCTCAAAGCACTACAGCAGGGCCCATTTTGGCCTTTGTAGTCAGTTGAGCTGAAGTTTCTATCAATGAAAACTCTGCGTATTATGCAGGACACTCACGTGCAGCCGTCTGTCTCTTCTGTTGACTAATCGCTTGACCCTTGACGCTTGACACAAAGCTTTAAGACATCAGACCAGCTTCTCAATGACAGATATTTGTAGAGCTGTGGGCTGGGCGACCCCCAACACATTCGCTAGATTCTATAGCCTTCGTGTGGAGCCTTTATCCTCCTGTGCTCTCACCTCAAATGGGTAGAGGCACTGAGAGGCCCTGGTTTAGTGTCGGCTTGCTAAAACTGCTTCAGAGTGTCCGTACTGTAGATCCTGTCGAGCTCCTCCATCCCTCTGCAACCAGACGTGGCGGAACGTCCGGCGCCAGGCCCTCACTCGATGAGAACCAGTAGAGGGCTGGGTTCCATATCTAGAGACCTAAGTGGATCCCATATGTGTAAAGTCCACAGTATAGCCTCAGAGCCAGAATTTCCCCGGCAGATTTCTGCCATTTCCAAGAGGGTTATAAGCACCTCTTATCTTCCATATGCACCTAAACGGTTGTTCATATGTGTAAGTGCTTCCAAAACCTCCTTCGGGAAGAATGGACCTTCCACAACGCTCCTGTTTCAAGTGGTACGGGTACATTTTCCCAGTGTCATCAAATCTCACTGAGTGGGTAGTGCTATGACAATGGTGACTGGTCTTCTTCTTGCGAGCCCCGGCCTACACCAAAAAGGGGCGCAGGAGGCTCGCACAGGACACTGGCAACTGAAAGGGAACGTCTCGGTTACGTATGTAACCCTCGTTCCCTGAATGAGGGAACGGAGATGTCACGTCCCATCACCACAGCTGCTGGCTCACCGCTGAGCGGCCAGGTCACCTGCTCGGCTCCTCAGAGAAAACCTGGTATGCACTAAAGTTATTGTCTATCAAAAAAAAAGAGTCGGCTCACAATCGCCTAAATGAGTCGTCAGGAATTCGAATATTATTCTGTTACGAATAATTCTATGTCACGAAGTAACACATTTGCATAATGTCTGCCCACGTTCTACGTCCACAACTTGCCCGCCCACAAAAGTAAAATTTCAGTGTGGTTAACATCATGTCGAGAAGACGCTGTATCCTACGCTGTGAGAGTAAATTTGTTTTATCACATCTTATAATTTCCACAAAATTGTTAACACTTGACACTTACCACTGAGAAACGTCCTGCTCCAGTAGTGCTTGTCGATCAGCCAGTTAAACCGTTTCATCATCAGACTTCGGCTCGAATTGGTAAGGTACAATTGATACCATCTTTTCTATGTATTGACAAGTCTCCAGGGCTGTCATTCCGTAATGGCAATGGGCATTTCGTTTCCAACATGCGCTGTACGCGTTAGACCAATCCAGAGCCAATCTCTCTACGGCTCTGGACCAATCAAACTCTAGCATATTTAATGATAAAACTTTTACTGTAAATAATAATAATAACTATTATTATTTAATCAAATTATAAAAATGTAATCAATAAAGAAATATCACTATAATACTTCTGAACTATAAAGTATTTAATAATTGTAATTTATATAATAATAATAATCATTATTCATTAAAAAAACAGGCAGAACAAATTATTATTTAATCAAATTATAACAATTTAATTAATAAAGAAATATCACTATAATACTATTGAACTGTGAAGTATTTAATAACAACTATAATTGATATAATAATAATAATAATAAAAATATTAGAAAAAGCACTTTCATTATTTAAAATAAAATAATAATAATAATAATAATAATAACTGTATGTGCATTATTTCATTAAAACACAGGCAGGACAAATTAGGGAAACACATCTAATTGCAATTATTAATAATAATAAAATTAAAAATCGCCAACTGGCGAGTAACATTGTTTCATGAACTCGCCAACGCTGATTTGAACTGGCGTTTGGTGCCTGGCGAGTGTTATTTTAGGCCAGACTCTGGCTGTAAACGCACCTGTCTCTGAGCGTGCGTCTCTTGGCCTGCAGTGCGTCCAGCTCCCACACGGACCGGCCGTTACCCGCATACCGGTGACCCCAGACCTCGATGGCCAGAGCGCCGTCTGAGACGAACTCCAGAAACTCCTCCGTCACCTGCACCACGAAATCCTGCCAACATAAATGCAACGAAAGCAGACCTTTACACGTCCTGAGGAGAATCTGAGTGCTGCTTCACTGTACAACACTCGATGCTACAGTGTTCTGGGTGGCTGCTAAGTGGTGGTGAACTGGTCCATGTCAAAAAAGTAGTGCACAATGTCTGTGTAATATTAGATTTACTGAAGACTGAACTTTAAGACTTGGTGTCAGAATAAATAATACCAAATAAATAACAAATAAAAGATTAAATAATAATAAAGAAATAATAACAATAATAATAACGTATTAAATAAAAGGTAATAAAATAAATACATTTGCATAAATAAACAAAATAAATAAATAATACAAAATAAATAACAATACTAATAACTTATTAAATAAAAGGTAATAAAATAAATACATTTGCATAAATAAACAAAATAAATAAATAATACAAAATAAATAACAATACTAATAACTTATTAAATAAAAGGTAATAAAATAAATACATTTGCATAAATAAACAAAATAAATAAATAATACAAAATAAATAACAATACTAATAACTTATTAAATAAAAGGTAATAAAATAAATAAATTTGCATAAATAAACAAACAAAAACAAAGAAAAGGTTAAACAATAAATAAATAACAATAATAACTTATTAAATAAAAGTTAATAAAATAAATCTGCATAAATAAATAATAAAAAATAAATAACAAATAAAAGATTAAATAATAATAACGATAATATTAACTTATTAAATAAAAGTTAATAAAATAAATACATTTTCATAAATAAACAAAACAAATTAATAAAAAGTAACAAAGAAAATATTAAATAATAATAAAGAAATAATAACGATAATAATAACTTATTAAATAAAAGGTAATAAAATAAATAATTTGCATAAATAAACAGAATAAATAAATAATACAAAATAAATAACAAAGAAAAGATTAAATAATAATAACGATAATATTAACTTATGAAATAAAAGTTAATAAAATAAATACATTTGCATAAATAAACAAAAAAATTAATAAAAAGTAACAAAAAAATATTAAATAATAATAAAGAAATAATGATAATAATAACTTATTAAATAAAAGGTAATAAAATAAATAAATTTGCATAAACAAAATAAATAAATAACAAAGAAAATATTAAATAATAATAAATAAAAGAAAAGTAAGAAACATCAGTTTGCATAAATAAAATAAAATAAAATAAAAACGTTCTCTTCTTTGCATTTCACCTCTGCTCCATCTTATTTCCTAATCTAGCTTTCTAATAAATCTGGCATTGTATATTTACTATGAATATAGTTGGCTCTGTGATGAATTGCTTATGTTGCTTATGTTAAATAAAACCATAAAAAATGTCATTACTTTAAATAAAATAAACATTAACTGAAAATAAATAAATAAATGAACTTTTTTTAACTAATAATAACTAAACCTGACACTGAAATAAAAATGAATAAAAACGATATAGACATAAAAAAAACGAATAAAAAACTAAAATTACTAAAACTAAATTATTAAAACTTAAACGAAAATAAAAACGTTAGTGTTTTTACCCTGCAGTGGTCAAAGCGCACAGTGAAGTGGGCGTCGGCTGTCTGTGAGGGGGGCGTGTCCGGGCTGACGATGGGCGGAGCCACGGCGGGCTCTGATTGTTCCCAGAAGGTGTACTGACAGAAGACGAAGTTGGAGAGATTGAGAGGAAGACCAGACGCCTCTCTGATCCGCACCTGACACGAAACACAACACTGCTCATTCTTACCATTACAGACACATAAATCAGATTTTTACGGTTTTACCACAAACATGCTCATATTATTTGATTGTGTAAAAATAATAATTTTTCATTTAAACTTTATAATTAGATGACAGAGATGACATTCATAAATTCACTGAATAGTTTATCACTTTCAATCCAGTCTCACTGATGCTTTACTATGGTGACATTTAAATCAGGACAATTTGCACTAACAATGTTTAATTTATCAAAAAAAAAACAATGTTTACATTTGCATGGCATAAAAACATGATTAGTGAATATAAAAGGATTTTTGCTATAAAAAAACTACAGGTTTGCTGTTTATATATACATATATATATATATATATATATATATATGTATATATATAAAAAAACAAACATTAAAAAGAACATATAAAACAAAATAAGAAATATTGCTATCTCTGTATTTAAGAACAATTTTACAGTAAAAAATGTGATCATAAAACCCTCCAGGTTTGCTGTAGTTGTTTGTAGGGCTGCATATATAATAAAAAAAAATCAATAAAAAAAAATCAATTATTGTTATTTTTTTTTATTACAATTAAATATTACATAACATATTCTTAATTATTAATTAATATATAAATTAATCAATATATCTATAAATAACAAATGATTATTAATTATACATATATTAAATAAATGCATTAAACAAAATAAGAAATATTGCTATTGTAATATTTTATAAATTAAGAAAATTTAAGAATTAATAATTTTCTTAAATTATTTCAGAAAAATAATATAATAATAATTATTGCTCTCAAATGCATGTTATAAGCAGTGTTGGGCTAGTTACTCAAATAATGTAATATATTACTCATTACTAGCTACTAATTTCAAAAGTAATATTTACTTGTTACTTTCTTTCAAAATAAATCTAGGAATTATTTGATTGTTGGATTTTAAATCAGTGGGGTTGAGGCTAGAGGTCTACACGGGTCCAAAAATTCGTAACCCGAAGAGACCCGTAAATGTGCTACACTGAACCGACCCGGACCCGTCTATTATTTTGAAAGTTGGACCCGGGCCC